TTCTATTCTCAGCCTTACATCTGCCCCCTTTATTCTTCTTAATTAACAGCTACTAACTATAACACTGATTTGTGCATTATGTCAATTAAGTATTATTCTTGGATATCTAATGAGTAATGACAAGCTGTGTTAAGCTAATCAAGATAGGTTGTCACTTGGCGGCGATCTGCTGAAGAGCAGTAAAAAGTTGAAGGGGCTTCGACATCATGGTCATGTGATCAGAGCCCTGGATCTCTTCCACTTCATCTGGTGGATTCTTTTCAATCATCCATTTTTGAAATTCCTTCTTGAGAAGTTTATCTTCAGCAGCAACAATGAACACTCGCCTAACTGAACCATACTTTTTGCTTGAAAAAATCATCTCTTTTGATATGTCTTCCTCACGGTATAAGTATACTGGCCTTACTAATGTAGTAGCCAGCGCCAAATCCTTACACCAAGAAGGGGAAAAACAATTTAAATCAGTTCCATGTTGATGTTGCGATTAAGTACTTGAGTAGATCTGTAAATTGGATAACCTATTAAAATCTTCGAGTAAGTGATGCCTACTAATACTTTTTGGCGAAACAAGTCACTTTAGGGCCGTTCTCATTTCCAGAATTGTGGAACTTATTGGCTATTTATATTACATATTTGTATTATGATTCGCTTACCTGAATTGGGCTCAGCTGGTAAACAATATTTGCCAAGTACTTTGGACCTAGGATAAGGGTGGTTGGAGGATTGCTAGGTCCATTATCGTATGTAACACGATTATCAAGTGCAGATACTACTCCACTGAATGTCTGTAACGAAGTATATTCAGATTCAGACATGTATAAATTGTAAGCAAACATAACAGATCATCTCATGGATAAAGTTGGGAATATGGCAAATTGGTACCTGAGTAAAAATGGCGGTTGCATTGAGAGTTGGACCAGGCATTAGAGCAGTGATAAATACAGCACCTGAAATCTTTTCTGGAAAATTTTCCATTGCTTTAGATATGGCAAATCCACCAAGGCTATGGCCTACAAGAACCACTTTTTCATCTGCAGGAGAGAAGCCATGAACTCCATTAGCGGACTAAAGTAATCGGATAAATGTGGGACTTGGAGGACCTGCTTTGGGTTGATCCCTGAAGCACCCAAGTCAATAGCTGTGACTTTATTCCCTGAAGATCTCAGCAATGCCACAATCTTGTACCAAGACCAGGCTCCATGGCATGCCGTATGAACTAGCACAAAGTGCTTCTTACCTTTAGGCCCTAACAAGATTGCATTTGCATATGGCAACAGAAGTGTTAGAACTACTAGACTTGCTAGAAACTTCTTTTTCTCCATATCTTTTTCCTTCTTTTGAAGAATGAGTACATAATGTAAACCATGCATTACAAGGCAACTTTATAGTTTGAGGAGTTTGGTTTATGCTAACTTACTTCCATGCAGAAGCAACCCCACGTCGGCTATTATTTGAGGCATTTGATTTTATAATCAGAGGCAGGCCCAAATTTGGAAATTTTTGGATTCTAGTTCGGTATTCTACCCCAACTCATTTTATTTACTAGGTTCAAAAATCAATTATTTGTACCTAACATTTTAAGTGGGTGTTATTCCTTTGACATCTCTCTAAGTCAAAGTTATGTTGAGGCTGCCCAAATGTGTAAAAACATGATATATGCATATTAATGTGATGACCCGTCATGTTATCATGCCATATAGGCGCCATCTGGCATATACTAATGCCACGTGGAAGTTTACATAGGAGGAAGGCTAGCATTTGTTAGAAAATTCTAAAGAAGCATAGACATTTCCTTAGGGAGACCCTAGATCCTTATGGATTTGCTATAAAAGTCCTTGGAATCTTCTAGGTTTGAAGAGAGTTCTAGATAAGTTCCTTATCTCGTAAATATTAAGGACTTGTATAACAATTAATATTTACATACTAGCTCCTAGGAGACTAGTATATAAAGAGAGTCATTCATTTGTAATTCACCAAGAAAACAATTCAAGTTCTCTCTAATACAAAGCTTCCTTTAACAATTCTCTTGTGTTCTTTCTACCATTCTCTTAGCGATCTTGAGTGTAGTAAGGCTAACTTGGCATAGTAAGAAAGTGAGCAAGTTGTGCAAGATCGTGAACGAGTTGTCAAGTGCCGTACGTGTACTTAGTTAACGACTAAGGACGTGACATTAAGCTTAAAAATGTGATGAAAATGACTACAATTAATGTGTTTTGCTTCAATTCTTCTCTCTCATACACTTCGTTAAGCCGAAGATAAGTTGGAGCTGCAGAAGTGCATTTGTACATGATATATACACATCAACCTTTGGAAATATGATAACATGAAAATAATTACAATGTCTTTTACTCCAATCCTTTCTTTCTCTCATTTTTTTCTAGTATCAGTAATAGCTGGTAGTACTCTTATAGGAAATCAGTGCTTTCATAACACATAGCTAGACAGATGAAAAACAGTTAATCTATTAGCTACCCCAATCTTAGAAAATAAAATGGCTCTTTGCATTAGTTTGTTATTTATATCACATGAAAACGTTTACTTGAAGAAGCCATACTATGGGTAAACACAATATTGATTTGTTTCAACTTTCAAGCCTTGAAATGGTGAATTTCAAGGTTTTCATCATCACGTTTCTTGAAATTGCTGTTCTTCCGATGAGCGAAAAGCATTCCCCAGTTATAGGCCTTATATTTTGCAGGGTTCTTCTCATTGACGAGCTCCTCCAAGGGTCCTATCCAAGTATAGTGTGATGGATTGAGGAAGAATGGAATTGAAAACCTTTCCTTCTCAGAGTTCACCACCACCCGGTGTTCCACGCTCTCATATTCATTGTTGCTCCAAACCTGAACAAGCATTGTGATCATACACCAATTATATATCAATAATACAATTTATCTGTTCTTCTACTGAATTCCTTGATAAGAATACCTGGATAGCGTCACCAACATTTATAATGTAAGCATCAAGAGTAGGTTTAACTCTAATCCATTCACCATCAGTTTTCCTCTTTACTTCAAGCCCTCCAATATCATCTTGAGCAAGAATGGTGAGTGCACCAGCATCTTTGTGCCTACCCACTCCTAAAGCCAAATGAGGGATAGGGCAAGGAGGATAATGATTCAGCCTCGCGAAACTAGTTTGGTTTTTAAAGAACCCATTCAACCTTTTTGCTGGCAAGTCTAAGCTGAGAGAAATCAGTTCTAGTAACTTGTAAGACAACTTTTGCATTTCTTGAACATACTTTTCACAAACATCCCTGAAAAGATATTTTTAAATCAATCTTCCTCAGCCTGTGGTAAAGTTGTCGTAACTGGTAAAGTTGTTGTCATGTGACCAGGAGGCCACAGGTTCGAGCCGTGGAAACATCCTCTTGCAGAAATGCAGGGTAAGGGCGTACGATAGACCTTCGTGGTCCGGCCCTTCCCCGGATCCCGCACATAGCGGGAGCTTAGTGCACCGGACTGACCTTGCTCAGCTTCGTGCTTTATTAAAGAGAAATGTTCCGATTTTGCCCCTCTACCATACGAAATATCTTAATTCTATTCTTCATCCTACCTTTTGGCCATTCATATCGTCTTGTTTTTTCCCTTAACACTAATAAAGCTCCAGCATAGATTGGGTAGATTCTATGGGGGTCAAAATACTTAGGGAAAAGGTACAACTTTACCCCTCTTTTGACTATAGTTTAATACTTCAGGTTGGAGCCCTGTAAGAGTCAATGGCAAATACTAGACGATTTACTAACTCAATCGTCTCTGCGAGGATATGATGACCTCTTAGTATAACAAGGATTAAATTAAGATATTTTGTATATTAGAGAGGTAAATTTGGAAATTTTCCCTTTACTAAATTGTGGGTTTAAAAATAGAATATGGAGTACCTTAATTCGGGAGGGTACTCAGGCCATTGATTGTGCAACTCCTTGAGCTCCTTGTCATCAGGGTCATGAGAAAGTGGTACAACAGTTGGATTCTCCACAGTAAAATCAAAGACTTCTTTCCAGTCCCTAACATTTTTGGTGAGCTCAGTATCATAATATCCCATTGAATTCAGCTCATCTCTCTTCACTTTTCTCTTTTCCTCTTTAGGCAAAGCAAAGAACTTTCTTGATCCCAACTCAATCTTTTCCCTGTACTCTGACACCCCATGATTGATCACTTGGAAGAATCCCCATTTCTTGCATGCATCTTTCACCTCAGCTACTAGACTTGATAATTCCTTGCAATTTTTCTCAGTGGAGAAATCTGAAGAGTTGAGTATTAAGAGATCAATCACTGGAATGCTCTCTGCTTCAGTTATGGTGAATTTAGGCCTGTGTTCAACATCTTGGATGAAAGCTGAGTCAACTTTTTCCATGGCTGAAATTATTTGGTACTGAGTTTTTCTTTGAGGCTCACAATCTCAGAGGTGGAATAGATTTTGGACACTGGAAAGGGCTTTGTCATACAACAGATTGAGGTTGCTGAGGTTTTATAGTTGAAACAATGACTGAAGTCTATATCTTGAAGGGTCGCGTCCTAAATATAATTTCTTACCTGCTAAAAATTTTTTATTGCAAGGTTGGTTTAATTTCGTTTTCATGCTGTTGCATTATTGATGCTAATTTTAGTACTGTTTCTGTTCCCACTACCACTCACTACCAGTGATGGAGACACATGCAGTTAAAGGGTGTCAACCTACACCCCTTTGTCGGAAATTACACCGTGTAGTTAGGTAATTTTTTATAAAATATGTATATATACTATGTATTGACACCCCTTGACTTCTTGATGAGTTTATTTCTTTATATTTTGACCCCCTTGATGAAAATACTGATTCCGCCACTGCCCACTACTATACTACATTTCGGAACCTGATGGAGAAAATGATAAAAATAACATTAGATTAACAAATAATGAAAGTAGGTAATTGTACCTTTCACAGGTGAATCTTGTTTGATCCGCAGATCATTAACTTGTAATTCTCATTAATGACTCAAGGATAGTAAATTAAGAAAACCATTTACAAGAGAAAGATGTACCACTTTATTTCTTTCCAGCTGAAAACGACAGCTTAATATAGTACAAAACGTCTCATAGACTATATTTGTCATTACAGGTCATGAATTCTAAAATGATATATTTGAATGTTCTCAACATTAAGTTTCTTGAAATTACTAAGGTTTCTTGTAGTGTTAAACTTGCCCCAGTTGTAAGCCTTGTATTTTACAGGGCTTTCTTCACTTGTAAGTTCTTCTAGAGGCTCAACCATCACATAGTGAGATGGGTTGAAGAAAAAAGGAATAGAAAATCTTTCTTTCTTGGAGCTTGCCACCGCCCTATGTTCCACACTTTCATATCTGTCATTGCTCCAAACCTGTGAAATTTTTTCATTTCCAGTCAACCAAGAAAATGGTATTGGCTCAATGGAAGTTTTTTGCTTTTCTGTCAATAAATAAGCAGCATGATACAAAAGTCATACCTGAACTATGTCACCAACATTGATAAGATAAGCATCTGGAGTTGGTTTAACTTGTATCCATTCTCCATCTGTCTTGCGTTTCACCTCGAGGCCACCAACATCATCTTGAGCAAGGACAGTCAGGGCGCCTGAATCCTTGTGTCGGCCAACCCCCAAAGCCAGATGATGAATCGGGCACACAGGATAATAATTTAATCGCATAGAACTTGTTTGGTCTTTAAAGCAGCTGTTGAGCCTTTTAGATGATAGGCCTAAGCTTAAGGCAATAAGTTCTAGCAACTTGTAGGAGAGTTTCTCAATACCTCGAGCGTATTCTTCACATGCCTCCCTGTACCGAGGCAGAACTTTAAGTAAGTGAGAATATTATTGCATCCACTAACTCATTTGTGACAACGGATGTGTACTTAGTATAAATGTATTATTTTCTACAATTGTTCATGTGATTAAAGTTGAAAGGCAGTGAGGGACCAAACCCATTGGCCATATAGTGAAGCACCCCGGTCAGTAGTAGAAATTTATAATCAAGCTAAGGTATTGGCAGCCTCCCCCGAATATAGTATAATTTTTGTAATCAAACAAAATTGTTGTCATGTGACCATGAGGTTACAGATTCGAGCCGTGAAAACAGCTTCTTGCAGAAATGCATGGTAAGGCTGCGTATAATAGACCACGGACCCCGTGCATAGCGGTAGCTTAGTGCATCGGACTGCCCTTTTTTTTTCTGTAATTAAGCAAAGATAGAGTCCAAGGGCATCCAGCAAATTATAATGACAAGACTCTAATTGGCTCTACCTGGTGATCCTCATTCTTTTCCTTTCAGTTTTTTCTGAAGGTATGATGTATCAATTCTAAAACTAATACTGCAGCTATTGACTAGTGTTATAAAAGGCGAATAGCGCAAAAACAAGGTTTGTTGGGGGTTTAAGTGTAAAGCGCCACGCTTTAATGAAGAAAAGCGCAAAGGGGGAAAAACTACAAATTTGTATGTGTGGTCCAAGACTAATATCTATAAGCATGAATACCAAATATATGGACAAAGAAATTAAAGAAAATTTACGATAAAATTGAAATATCAATTGTTTGGTGTCGCCTCTTCAGAATTATGCTCATTGGCAAGGAAAAGTATACCTTAAAGCCTTGATGACAACACTGAAGTACCCGCTAAGCGAGGTGAAGCGTTCAACATGTTTTGAGCCTCGCTTCAGGGCTTAAGTGCGCCTTTGATAACACTGCTATTGACTTCAGAAACCAATTAAACAATTTTTCGGAAACCTTTGTGGCCGACTTAGTCGCCCAGAAATGTATTTGTGCTAGATCATTCCCAACGACTACCTCTAACCACTCTTGATGCAACTATTTGTAATTGATTTAACCCAGGATTTTCCACTGTTATTATTCCACTATACTATTTGTAATTGATTTAACACAAGATTTTCCACTGTTATTATCCTAAAATATATGTTCCAACAACTATATGTATTTTTATCGTCTAGTGATGTCCTTTTATTGATTGAATCCATCGACATGCCTTAGCACTATGGTTCCCACTTACCACACTAAAGCGCCACCAAACTGAGGCAAAGCACCCAACATCAACATGGTTCAGTAAAAGAACAGACAAATTAATTTAATGAGAAAAAGGTTAATAGGAACCTGAAACCAGTAGGAAATTGAGGCCATTTATTGACCAGCTCCTTGAGTTCCATATCACCAGGTTCATGAGAAGCTGGCAACATAGTTGGATTCTCCACAACAAAATCAAACACTTCTTTCCAATCCCTAACATTTTTAGTATGCTCTGTATCATAAAAACCCATAGGGCTATCTTCATCTCTGCTCACTTTCCTCTTCTCCTCAGTGGGCTGCAAGAAAAATTCCCTTGATGCTTTCTCAATATTTTCACGGCATGTTGCTGGAACTCCATGGTTTATCACTTGGAAAAAACCCCAGTTCCTGCACGCATCACCAATCTCTGCTACAAGATTTGTAATTGCTAAAGAAGTGTTGGAGGTGTCAGAGGTTAGAACTGGAGAGAGATCAATTAAGGGTATGTTTTCTGCTTCAATTGTACTCAGTTTTGGCCTATGTTCAGTTTCTTGGAAAAATGATTCATCAACCTCTCCCATGATACTTCACTTTGTAACAAATGAGACTGAGAAGAAAATCTGAGAGGTGCTTCGGAGAGATATAGGAATGTGGTGGTAGGTGGTGGTAGGTGGTGGGGCAATATGTGTGAAAATGGCGTGTAGCAGCCACTAAATAAGGGTGTATTTAATTTTTATCCACTATTTAAAATGCTTATCAAAAATAGCCATTACTAAGGGGGAAAAGACACAATTACCCTTTCTCTATTTCTTGTATAATCCCAAAATCGACGAAAACCCTTATTTCAATCGCGACTGGTAATATATATTTTTTTTATGCATTTTCGTTTTTCTTTATTTGTAAGTTGGTTCAATGCCGTGTGAAGTATGTGTGAAATTTCAAAAGTTAGCATTATATGTTGATTCAGTGTAGTATATTTTGTGTGATTCTGTTTTTGATAAATTTTAGTGTGTGAAATTTAAAATGTGTTTGTGGTTGATTCAATATATTTGATTATGTAGG